CCTCCTTGGGTTTCTGAGGTGGTGTCACTACAGAAGTAGATTGCCCCATCTTCCTTCTGAGGAGTGGCTGGTGGGTTTGAACTGCCAGCCTTCTGGTTAGCAGTCAAGTGCTTTAGGCACTACACTACCAGAGTTAGGACCTCTTTAAGTATTCCTCTCCTCCTTATTAAGGAGGGTGTTATTTCTGATGTTCAATCATTCTTCATCTGTTATCTAGTTGTTTGAACCTCAAAGTTTGGTAGCAGCCCAGGGCCATTGGCGCCTGAATGCAGTAGGATGAAATTTTATATACATAATCATCAATTATTCACTCTTGATCGAGGAGACTGTCAAAATGCTTCCTTTAATAAAAGTTACCTTAGATCTTTCAGGGATATGGGAGAAAGCCTTGGAAATTTGGATCTAAGATAGGTTTTATAGCCCTGAAGAGACTGTCTTTCAGCAAGAAGTAGAACTGACTTTGCCTTATCTTTTCCTCCATCTGTTCTTTATATACAACCTGTTTTGGGCCTGGGGCCGAGGCCTCCTAACATTCTTTTTATCTATTTCTGTGCTAGTTTCATTCTGGCCCATTCCAAAGTTTTTTGCTGAACAGTTTGTAGGACAATTTTCATTGCATCAATCTTGATATGTTTTGTAGAGATTCCAAGTTACACAAAAGGTGTTAAAAGCAGACCTAAGAATGTTCCAAATCTTAGTTGTTACACACACCTCATTTTAAAAAGACTCTGATTTAGCTGGACTAGAGGGGGTGTCTTAACTGCCTCAATGTCAATTTTCTTGTGATATGTCTTTGCTACTGCCATTTCTGGAGAACAAATCTGAGAGTCAAACCAGAGGAAATAAGTTGATAACAGGTCTAAGAATCTTTATATGCAAAGCTACCTTTGTAGGCAAGAATCAGACAGTGAGGTCTGGAGCCAATTGACACAAAATTACTGAAATTTAAGAGTTGAACTAGACTTCAGTATCTGAGTCAGTACGTAGAAATTGACATATCAAGACACAAGGTCTTTAGGTTAAACCAGAGAGGAAGCTTGGTTTCACACTGCCACCTTGGGTGCCCTGTCGCCTTTTGACCTGGGCAATCACTCTGACCAAAACAGGGCTCTCTCAAGACCCAGAGCTGCCCAGGCATGGAGACCAGGAAGCAGACAGAAGATAATGAAACCTCTCCCAGGAGCAGGGGGCCAGGACTGAGATTACTGCAATTCTTTCTAAATAGTTCCTATCCCAAAGCCAGGGTCTACATTCAGAGGTTGAGGTCAGTAAGCTATGATGAGGGTCAACTATAATCAAACTACCACTCAAGGGCAGGACTCTGGAGAGTGGGTTAAAATTAGGCAATGCTGAAGGCTCCATCTGCCACTTCACCTCATAAAACGGTCCCATCTTCCCAATGTCCACATCAATACAGATGGCTTCCAAATCCACACCCCAGGCTCCAAACGCCTAACAGAAACTTCCTCCTAGAAGTCCTTTCCTTGCCAAGAAACAATATGTTAAAGAAGGGAAGTCAGCATTCTTTTCAACCCCCTTCACAAAACCCCTCACCCTGACAGGTGTCACAATTATTCTCCTAGTCAACCTGGGAAGACTCCTGCTGATCACAGAGTCCTACCCCCTCCTTAATTTTTAAATACACTGCATCAAGCCCTGTCTCTTCATCCTTCCAAATATACTTTTACACTTGGCCCCCGTTCTTCATTCCCACTACCACCACCCTCATTGCCTCAAACTTAAATTATTTCAGGTATTTAATAGGTCCCCTATTAACAACACTGGTCAGCATTTAAGAGTACCTGCTATGTGCCTGGCTCTGTGCTAAATGCTCAATATGAAGGAGCTCATTTAACCCCACAAGTCTATTACAATCACCTCTATTTTATAGGTGAAAAAATCGAGACTTTCTATGGTTAAGTATAGTTTAAACCCACCAGCTGCTGTATGGAAGGAAGACAGGGCAACTGATTTCTGTAAAGATTTACCACCTTATAAACCCAATGGGGGTCATTATGAGTTGGAATCGACTCCATAGCAGTGGGTTCAGTTTGGTTTGGTTGATGGTTAAGTAATTTTCTCACATCATATAGAAAGTAAGGAAGTAAGGTGCAGAGCTGAGACTCAATAGAGGATTGTCCAGCCCCTGAAATATCTAACCTTTCCTAGAGGCAGAAGGAGTCTCTCCCTGCGGCTGAGAGATGCGCTGCTGAAAGAAATGCACTTGCTGAGAGAGAGACACACCAGACACCACTGCTGAGAGACATGCGAGAGACACACTGCTAGGAGAGAGAGACTGTCAGCTGCTAAGTGAGACGGCCGGCTGCAAGAGACTGAGTACATTTCTGAACTTGAATTGTAGCCTGTTGCTTCCCTAATAAACCCCCTAATTTGTGAGTTCTGTGTGGTCACCACAGCAAATTCTCAAACCCAGCAGAAAGGTGGTGGGTGCTCTGGGAAGAACAGTTGGTGTCCGGGTTGGTGACAGGGCTGGAGGGAGGCAGCATGTCTAGCCTCGCAGGAATAGGACTTGGGCTACTGATGGTGATTCTGTCTTCCTCCTGCGGGGTCAGAGGAGGTCAGAAGATGTGGTCTCCTTGCCCCTTTTGCGGAACCTACGTTGCCCTGGCCCTGCGCCATCCTCAAAGTTGCTGCTATATTTGAGCTCATTGTTACAGTCAGGGTCAATCCGTCTCATGGAGGGTCTTCCTCTTTTTTGCTGGCCCTCTACTTTACCAAGACTGATGTCCTTCTTCAGGGACTGGTCCCCCCTAATAACATGCCCAAAGCCAAAGTCTCATCATCTTCACTTCTAAGGCACATGCTGGCTGTACTTCTTCCAAGCCAGATTTGTTTGTTCTTCTGGCAGTCTATGGCATATTTAATATTCTTTGCCAACATCATAATTCAAAGGCATCAATTCTTCTTTGGTCTTCCTTATTCATTGTCCAGCTTTCACAAGCACATGAGGTGACTGAAAAACCATGGTTTGAGTCAGGCACACATTAGTCCTCAAAATGACATCTTTGCTTTTCAATGCTTTAAAGAGGTCTTGTGCAGCAGATTTGTCCGATGCACCTTCATCTGATTTCTTGACTTCTGCTTCTGTGGGTGTTGATTATGGATTCAAGTAAAACGAAAAACCCTTGACAACTCCAATCTTTTCTCCAAATGTGAGGATTTTTGGTCCAAATGTGAGGATTTTTGCTTATTGGTCCAAATGTGAGGATTTTTGCTTTCTTTAGGTTGAGGTGAAATCCATATTAAAGGCTGTAGTGTTTCATCTTCATCAGTAAGTGCTTCAAGTCCTATTCACTTGTAGTAGGCAAGATTGTCTTATCTTCATACTACAGGTTGTCAATGAGTCTTTCTCTAATCCTGATGCTGTGTTCTTCTTCTTACAGTCCAGCTTTCAGATTATTTGTTCAACAAAAAGATTAAGTATGCTGAACGGATACAACCCTGACACACACCCTTCCTACACAGTGTCCCCTTTTTTTCTTCAAATGACTGCCTCTTCTTGGTCTATGTATAGGTTCCATATGAACACAATTAAATATTTTGAAATTCTCACTCTTCTCAATGTTATCCATAATTGTTATGATTTACACATTCAAATGATTTTGCATAGTCAACAAAACACAGGTAAACACATTTCTGGTATTCTCTGCTCTCAGCCAAGATCCATCTGGCATCAGCAATGATATACCTCATTCCATGTTGTCTTCTGAATCAAGCTTGAATTTCTGGCAGTTCCCTGCCAATACAGTGCTGCAACCATTTTTGAATTATTCTTAGCAAAATTTTACTTGCATGTGATATTAATGATATCGTTCAATAATTTCCACATTCTGTTGGATCACCTTTCTTTGAAATGGGCATAAATATGCATTTCTTCCAATAGGGTCACCAGGCAGCTGCCCTCCAAGCCTCTTGACATAAATAACTGAACACCTCCACCGCTGTATTCATTTGTTGAAACATCTCAATAGGTATTGCATCAATTCCTGGAGCCTTGTTTTTCATCAATTCCCTCAGTGCAGCTTTGACTTCTTCCTTCAATACTATTGGTTCTTGATTATATGCCACCTCCTGAAATTGTTGAACATCAACCAATTATTTTTGGTACAATGACTCTGTATTCCTTCCATCTTTTTTGAGTCTTCCAGAATCATTCAATATTTTGCCCTGAGAATTGTTCAATATTGCAACTTGAGGCTTTAATTTTTTCTTCAGGTCTTTCAGCTTGAGCAATGCTAAGGTACTCTTCCCTTTTGGTTTCCTAATTCCAGGTCTTTGCACACTTCATTATAATACTTTGTTTTCCCCAGCTTCCCTCTGAAATCTTTTGTTCGGCTCTTTTATCTTGTCATTTCTTCCATTTGCTTTGGCCACTCTCCATTTAAGACCAAGTTTCAGAGTCTCTCCTGACATCCATCTTGGACTTTTCTTCCTTTCCTATCATTTTAATGACCATTAGCTTTCTTCATGTATGATGTTCTTGATGTCATCCTACAACTTGTCTAGTTTTTGGTCATTGATGTTTAATATGGCAAATCTATCCTTAAGATGGTCTCTAAATTGAAGTAGGATATACTTAAGGTCATATTTTTGCTCTCATGCATTTGTTTTAATTTTCTTCAGCTTCAACTTGAACTTGTATATGAGCAATTGATGGTTTGTTCCAGTCAGCTTCTAGCTTTACCATGACTGATGATATTGAGCTTTTCTATTGTCTCTTTCCACACATGTAATTATTTTGATTCCTGCATATTCCATCCAGTGATATCCACATATATAGTCACCATTTATGTTGCTGGAAGAAAGGTATTCCAATGAATAGGTCTTGCAAAATTCTATATGATCTCTGGTATCATATCTATCACGAAGACCATATTTTCCAGCTACCATTCCTTCTTGTTTCCAACTTTCACATTCCAATCACCAGTAATTACCAATGTACCTTAATTGCAAGCTTGATCAATTTCAGACTGCTGAAGTTAGTAAAAGTCTTCACTTTCTTCATTTTTGGCATTAGCGGTTGGTGTATAAATTTGAGTAAGAATTGGATTAACTGGTCTTCCTTGTAGGCATATGGATATTATCCTGTAAGTGACAGCACTGTACTTCAGGATAGATCTTGAAATGTTTTTTTTTTTTTTTTTATGATGAATGTCACACCACTCCTCTTCAATTTGGCACTCCCAGCATAGGAGACCATATGAATGTCTGATTCACAATGACCAACACCAGTCCACTTCAGCTCACTAATGCCTGGGATACCTAGGATACTTTACGTGTTCCATTTCATTTTTGATTGTCTTCCAATTTTCTTAGATTCATATTTTGTACATTCCCTGTTCTGATTATGAATGGATATTTGCAATTGTGCAGTCTCATTTTGATCTCTGCCACTTCAGCAAACGAAGGAAGGTCCCAAAATCTTTACTCCACCCACATCATTAAAGTCAACTCTACTCTGAGGTGCCTCTTCCCCTGAGGCACTCATCTTCCTGCACTATATCAGACAATATTCCACTGCTGTTCATGTTTTCACAGGACAATTGTTTAGAAATAGATTGCCAGGTTCTTCTTCCTGTCTTAGTCTGGAAGCTCTGCTGAAACCTGTCCATCATGGGTAATCCTGATGACATTTGAAATACCAGTAGCATAGCTTCCAGGATCACAGCAACACACAAGCCACCACAAAATGATAAACCAGCAGAGGAGTGCTCTACAGTATACATGTGTGTTCACACTCTAACCACCTGGGGGAGCTCAAGGCTCCCTCTCCTCCACCATCTCCACTCCTGGCCGAAGGATCAGCCAGGCAGTTGATGTGGTCATTTTACTGGGCTATGGGGTTGTGGATATGGCCCTTCTCTTTTAAATTATCCTACATGATTTAAAGTTTGAGAGTTGGGTCTTCCTTAGTTAGGCTCTGGAAGGCCGGATTAAGCTAGTTTCAGGAAGAAAGTACTCTCTCCTGGACCCCATCTTTCCTCAAAGTTAGAGTAGCAAATCACAGTGGGTCAGGAGTCAGGTGTGGGCTCAGGCACATGGGGCCAAGAGGCCACTCCACTCACATTTAGTGATGTAGGCCACTCAAACCTCCCCTCCTGAGAAGAAACAGAATGGCCTCCCAACCATATGGCTTTGAACTTCTCACTGCAGTCGGAGGGGTGGCACACCTGGTTTGCTTTCAGAGGGTGGCGTGTCCTGAGGGCTCACAGGGCTACTGCTCGGGACTTCTCTGTAGGACGATGAGGCTCGGAGAGTCACTGCTCCCTTCCCAGTGCAGATTTTTGTAGGATCCATGTCTGAAAAGAAAAGATCCAGAAAAGAAGGCTGAACCCAAGATTCCCAAAGGATAAAAGCAACAGTCATAGCAAATGGTTACAACTGAGAATAAGATAAACCTGGTTACAGCCACGCAGTCTTCAAACACTTGGTTTCAATGAAAATTAATGTGTGGGTGGTGGAGAATAACAAGCCCCATGTTCAGAGGTTTGCCACCACACTATGAAGTTAGGGGTCAATGGAGGCGACAATGAATTCCGAGTAAATGCATCAGTTCAATATCAGTAGAAAACATTTCAAAATGAAAGCAGGTTTATTCCTTTTATTAAATGAAGTTTAGGCAGGTGGGCAAACTTCTGACCAATTAATTAGGCATAGTTCAAGGGTTTATATAAGATTTCTCAAGCTTCCAGATCACCCTTCTTATAAAAGAACAAGATGGCAGCCTAGGGAATCAGGTGGCTGTTCTGAGGAGAATCACTTTCTTTGTAGTCCTCCAATGGGAGAAGGAAAGAAAATCTTCTGTAACAGCCAAGTCAATACCACCGAAATGATAAGGCAAAAAGATATGCTGCTTGGGGAGAGAGACCCCAGCCTCATGTTGCAAGCTTCATGACAAAAATTCACGTCAAAGAAAACGACTAGAAATGCTAACTCCTTTGATGAACAGTGTTCATTGCATCCCCAGCTGAGTCTTTCCTGGGCCCCAATCTCTCCTACAATCTCACGACCGACTAGTAACAGACTCAGGCCATCTTGAAGAGTTCCATTTAGAAGGATTTCAAAATAAGCTTCAAACGATCTGGATGCCCACCCTCCAACCAGTGTAGACCACACAGTTCTAGAAGGCACAGGCACTGACCGTTCCTGTGCAGCTGAGCTCATGGTTGGTTTTTACAAACTGCCCACGGACTGGCTCCTTCACCTAAATTAGCAAGATTATGGGCTAAAGTGCAAAGGAGTGCTTGCTGGGCAGGAGGCAGGCTCAGACATGCAACTCCTCCCCATCCTGGGCCAGGGAGAGAGCAGCAGTCTCGGCCTCCCCTGCTTTCCACTCCAGCAGCCCCTTCCGACAGCTCAGACAGCATGATCATTAGTGCTACAGAACAGAAGAGATCTGCCCTGTCAGCGCCTCTTCCCCTGAAAGCCAAGCACAAAAACTCAATGAACTTGTCCATCCCCATCAAGAGGATAAGTGACTGATGTCACAAAATGATTGGGAAAACTGGTTCACAGCCATTATTTCCAAGGATGAGGGGGCAATCTGGTCGATCCAGCCCATCGACAGGTTCCAGGGCTCAAATCCAGGCTTGCTCAGCTCCTGAAAGCACCAGTAGGACAAAGCAGCACCTATGCCACACTTGGGAGCACTGGTGGCAGAGTGATTAAGGACTCAGCTTCTAAGCAAAAGGCTGACGTTTCAAGTTCGCCAGCTGCTAAGGGAAAGAAAGATGCAGCAGTCTGCTTCCATAAAAATTTATAGCCTTGGAAACCCTGTGGGGGCAGTTCCACTCTGTCCTACAAGGTCACTATGAGTTAGAATCAACTCAATGGCTATGGGTTTGGTTTGGTTTTGGTAAGCCTCACTGGGGGGTCCTTGGGTAAGGCAAACAGTTTGCACTTGACTACAAAAGATTGCTGGTTTGAACTCATTCAGTGATTCCATGGAAGAAAGACCTCACCATCTGCCTCTGTAGAGATGACAAGAAAACACTGTGGAGGTCAGTCCTATTCTGTCACACAGGGGGTCACCATGGGTCAGAATCAACTCAACAGAAGGTTTTTTTTGGGGGTGGGGGGAAGGGTTTCTCACTTGTTCCATTTTGTACAGAAGGAAGCTTTGAGATGGAGCTGACATCTGAACTGCACCCCTCCCTGGAGGACAGACAGGAAATGACTGCAGGTGAAGTGGGGGTGGGGAACATTCTGCAAACATCACAGAGACAAGTCTAAAGTTTGGCATCCAAGGCAGCTGCTTCACATTCAGCCCAATCCAGAGGTTCCCTGCAAGGTCAAGTTAATTCTGGGAGAGAATGGAGTTTTAAATAAAGTACAGGGAGCTGAAAAGCTGTAGGGAGAGCTGGATAAGTCCCGAGGCCCAGACCCACCCCAGGGTATATGTTTAGCCTCTGGACTGACCCTTCTCCTATCTGTCCTCAGTTCTTCTCTACTCTTGCTGGCTCATAAATATACATACTCACATACACACCCAGAGGAAGAAAGGAAAGAAACAAGAAGTGAGAGAAAACATCTCCTAAACATGCAAGGATTAAGCCTTAAAGTATTTGTTAGAAGGAAAGAAGGAAGAAAGGAACGCCATGCATGATCTGCTAACAAAAAAGAAACCAACCAACCCAAGGAGAGATACCTGTCTGGAGCACTAGGCCTGCAGAGTTTGTCACTGTCTTCACAGGAATTATTTTAACAGCAGAAATAGAGCGTGCACGTAAAGGCCTGGCAGTGGCTGAAAACACAAAAGGGTAAGTGGTGCATCCAGAAGGAACACTTGGGAAACGCTCAGGCAGCTGAGGAACTGGGCAGGGACAATAGGAGGAAGCTGAAGAGAATAATACAAAGAGCTGTAGATGCAGTAATTAAAAATAACCTGCTTTCTCTCTTTTAGGGTTAGAGACCAACATGACAGAGCCCTCCCTCCAGCCATCACCCAAATACAGTTGGTCAGGGTTTATCTGTGCCTCCTGCCACACTAGGGGCTTGCCAAAGCCCTGGACAAAGAGATTTACAGAGACACAGATGGCCTGGCAAACAGAGGAAGAGGGGAACAATCAGAGTTCACGGGGCCCCCTGGGAGAGCACTGGGCGTCCACACCGGGGGGAGGGCCTGAGGAAAAGAGCTATGGCCCGTAGACCCCTGATGAGAGAAGGAAGGAAAAGAACAAGTCTGTTAGTTGCCTAGTCCCTTCAGCCATCACAGCTGCTTCCCCCAAATCATAACTTCTGGGTCTGTTCTGCCAATAATATCCCTCTTGCCCCAAGCAAGTCAGAACCCCCATCTGTTGGACAGCAGATGGTCTTGCTTAAATCCACCCTTTCCTGGTCAAGAGGTGGCCAAGCATCCAAGTGCAAGCTCAAGACGTTGGGCAGCACCCAAGTGGCACAGACCAGGATCCAGACACCCAGCTGAATTTTCAAGAGGGCTGGGGTAACTGCCTGGGACGCTGGTGTCTGCAGTTCTTGGTAGTCCTGTTTATCAACCTGCAGGGTTCCTTGGACTCCCTGCCTCCTCAAATTCTGGAGACTCAGTGGTGGGTACATTCCCAAACCCTCCTTCCCAGAACAAGCCTGTCGTGAGGCCTCCCCTCATCCTCTCTTTCCAACTGAAGTATATAAAGAGAGTGGGGAGTTCATGTGCTTGGTGTCAGCATGGCTCCAGTGAGTGTTGCCCAGAGGCCTTGCAGCCACAGAGAATGCCTAGGGGATAAGGCTGTTTGGGAAGCAAGATTATCGCTGATGATCACGCTGCAAGCCTGTCAAGGGGGCAGAGGAGGAGGGAGGCATTTTGGCAGTGGGCAGTGTACCCTCCAGTCCATCGCACTGCCATTGCTTATGGCACATGGCAGTCAATAACTCAGCTCATAATAATGATACTCCACATATTAAGCTACAAAATGCTTTCACAGCAATTCTATTGATTGCTCCTATGACCACCTGGGAGACTGGCTGGGTGGGAGGAGTTTTGTTAACATTTCCAGGTGAAGAAGCAAGGGGCTCAGAGAGCTGCTGACAGTCCTTCAGATCCCAAGTGGAATCTGAGACTGGAATTCTGCTGCCCTGGCTCCTGGCTCAGAGACCACCTCCAGGCCACCCTAATGGCCCTCACGATACATCTGCCTCCTTCTTTCCAGCCAAGGTGGGTCTTACCATGGAAAGAGTAGAATCCATTTCCATCTGCCACCCTCCCCCACTTCAAGTCTCTTGCATAAATGAATTTGCAGGGATGGGGTTGGTGGCCCGGTAGGTTTTAAAAGCATTGGGACACCCACTCCCTTCCACACTCCTCACTGCATGTAAACACTCCCCTGTACCTACTCCATAGTTCAACATTCCTTAAATGCAACTTAGCAAAGATTGTTGGAGATCCAAGAATACAGCAGACACAGCCCCACACCAAGAATGGAGGAGGGCAGCTAGTGGGGAAGCAAAGAGGCAAGGAAAACGGGACTCTGCCACAAAGGAAGCCATCTCCAAAGCAAGTGGGGCCCCTCTCTCCCCAGCTCTTCCTGCTCCGTATGTCTTCCCTCTCCAAATGGCTCCTTTGGAGTCTACACTTTGCCTTGTCTCCAAAAGAATACCTGACTGAACCAGAAGGGAATTATAATCAAAGGCCAACTACGTCAAACTTTGAAATTATTCTTTGATAGTTGTTACATTTTTATTTAAATATCCACTGCCAGGACTTTTGCCCTTCCATTTTGATATCATAAAATTTAGTTGGATGAGTGTCCATTCAATGCCTGGAATGCAGAATTTCAGCACAGCAGTAAATACTGCAGATCAACAAACTCCCTCATATTACAGATGAGGAAACTCATACCCACAAGGATAAAGGGCCTTCCCAAAGGCCTCTGTTGTGAGCAGCAGAATCAGGACTTGAACTTAGACCTCATCACTCCCACTTGAGTGCCTCTTCACACCACCCTGTATCGATCAGCCCTGCTGCCTGGCTATCTGAGCAGCCACACTGAGACTGTCAGGATGACTCCAGGATAAACAGGGCCTTAAATCTCATCTTCTCCACTATTCACTTCACATTTAAATCTTTCATCCTAAAAATTTTAAAAACTGAAAATAGGAGAGGATGCACATGAAACTAATGCAACTGCAATGACTGGTTTAAATGCCTAAGGGTCAGGACTGTGAAGGTGCCACTAATGTACAACAGGTAAAGGTGAAATGCCAGACAAAGAAAATTTTAGGCATGAAGTACACCACCTTCCAGGTATCTGATCAGCTATTCACAGCATCCCTGTGAGCTAGGACCAGTTTTTAATACTGTCATCTCACAGCATAGAAATGGCAGCCTTAGATTCATGAGATGTGAGAATGCACTCACGATCTCAGGAAATCAGTGCTGGAAACAGCTCTCCTGTTCATGGGCTGATTAGGCCAATGACTGCCCCAACATGCAGGTAGAGCAGCCCAGAGCCAACGTACTCTGCTCCTCCTGGAAAAGCTCTCCAGGACTGAGCCCAGGCTTCTCTTCAAGAGCCTTACCTTTGTCTTGCCCATTGTTGCCTGGCGCCAACCCATTCACCACAGCCTTAGAAACATCAACATCACATTCTGAAAGAAAAAGACCACAAGGCTTGTGATCATGCAGCCCTAACATCTCCTGAGGCTCCAGCAAGCTGGGCTAGAAGCTGAGTGGAGAGCAAAGGCAGACGGGGTCCTGCCCTGGCAGACCCTGGAGTCGCTCCATCCACCCCATCCACGTGCCTCTGGTTCAGCCTCATACCAGTTTCTTGGGTTTGGAGATGGACATCTAAGGCATCATAGGAGAGCTCTGAGAATATTATGTGGCCTTAACCAGGGAAGACACAAAAGCTGTTTGGGGAAGAAGTGTGTGGTGGGTGATGTATGTTCACTTGCCTCCTTGTTATGACTTCCTTTCTGACATTTAAAAAAAAAAAAAAGCTATGTAATTACTTCTGAAGGCCTACCTGCCTAGTCCATCTCAGTCTGAAAGCTCTGCTCAAACCTGTTCAGCATCATAGCAACATACGAACCTCCCATGACAGTCAGGTGGTGGCTGTATATGAGGTACACTGGCTGGGAATCAAACTCGGGGCTCCCACATAGAAGGCAAGAATCCTACCACTGAACGACCAATGCCTCATCCTATGTATTTAAAACCTCCCCAAAGCCCCACTAAGTTGGTGCTGTTATTATGTCCATTTTACAGAGGAGGATGCAGAGAAGGATCCACCACAAGCCGGAGGCCCCACAGGCAGTGTGACAAAGCCAGGGGTGACTCAGGTGGGCCTAAGAGTCCTCCATGCTTCTAACAGTACACTCTCCTGCACAGCTTAGGGCTTGGCTGCAAAGGCACTGTATGTAAATAAATGAAAAGACTTGTTTTTAATTAATAGAGGTCTCTGGTAACACTCTAGAATTAATGCAGGATTAGAAAGTCCTTGAAGGAGCAAGGAAGCAGTTGATGGTGATGTCCATGTGGTTAATCTCCATCCCCACCTGGACTGCTGCTCTCGGAGTCTCCAGGGCACACTCAGAAGCCAAGGTTGGCCTTAATCTCCAGATGGAAATTTCTTTGTTGGAACCCAGGCCTGGAAACCTGACAGCTCTGGCTACACAACCAGCAGACCCGTTCCCTTCACTGTCTTCTCCGGCCCATGCTTTCCCCCTTCTGCCTTAAACTAAAGATACTCAAGGCCCATCATCTGTTTAGGTCTTGATTCTTACTATCAAAGGCACAGTGAAAGGGTGAACAAGCTGCTCTACTAGCCTGCATGAAGAAGTGTTGGATTAGCTCCCATCACGGGGCAATGACAATGTATCTGCTTATTTTTGCTGCAGTCACTAGGATTAAGGAATGCCACTGAGGTGTATGTGTAAGTCAACTTAAACTGTATACACTTAATCAAACTGTATACTTAAAATATGTGCAGTTTATTGTAGGCTGATTATATCTTAATGAAGCTGTTAAAAATACAGAGGGAAAGGGTGATTAATTAAGATTAAAGACACGGTGCACATAAGCTACCTAGTTTAGACAATTAGTAGGTGCTCAATAAATAGAGCTCTGGTAGTGTAGTGCTTAAGGCACTTCACTGCTAACCAGAAGGCTGACGGTTCAAACCCACCAGCCAGTCCTTGGAAGGAAGGGTGGGCAATCTACTTCCATAGTGATACTGCCTCAGAAACCCAAGGAGGGGTTGCTGTGAGTCAGATCCCGATTCCACAGCAGTTGTTGCGGGGTTTTTTTTGCAATAAATAAAGGTAGTGATAATGATGATTTATGACAAAGCTTAGGTTCTCACCAAGGTCTCAAGAAATAAAAAAAAAATAAAATGCAGCCTAGGCTTCCAGAGTACATGGGAAATCTGAGTAAGCTGCCAAAAGGAGATTTGCTAAGGACAGAAAGACAAGTTTAAAATGACTTACCAGCCGAACTCATGGTGATGACCGGACAGGTCTTCTGCAAGTGGGGCTCTGAATCGCTCTGCAGAAAACAAACACCACACAATGGAATCAATGAATGGCAAGTTCAAGAGACATTCCCTACTTATCCTCTTTAGTATTAAAAAGTGCGAACTCCATGAGTCCTGCTACCTCAGAGCCAAAGCCGGAGCCACTCAGCCAGGCCTGAGCACCTGGCTCACCCTCCCTGCACTCAGGCTTATCAGTCGTAGTTGTTCCGATGCTACCCCAGATCTCTTCCAGCTCTAACATGTTATGAAAAACTTCAAGTTATGTGAGTACACATGGGTCAAAGAAAAGGTGAAGGAAAGAACTGAACTGTAGGAGAAAGAGGTAAAGTCACAGCACAAACTGATTATCAGAGGTTACTAACACAAGTGAACACTTACATACAGCACTTACTAAGCATGAGGAAATGTTCCAAGTGCTTTAAATATATCAACTCATCTGAACTTCACAACAACCCTATGGGGTAAGTACCTATACTGTGTTATTGTACACAGGTGAGGAAACTGAGACAGAGAGAGGCAAAGTAACTTGCCTACCCAGGTGGCAGAGTTGATACTAGAACCCAGGTCGTTTGACTCTAAGGCTCAACTTCTCAGGGGCTGCACTTTACCATCTTTAGGTGGTGACACATTCCACTTACTGAGCACTGATGTGCAACAGATAGCGCTCCGATTTAGTATGGTCTCAAATCAAGGAAAGCTTAAATTGTACAGACAATGCACTAATATATACCCAGAAAATATTTAATTCACATACAACAAAATATATCCACTTTAATTGTTCAAGTTGACAAATATACATGGTCCTATAACTACCACCACCATCATGATGAGGTCATTGCTGTACGTCTTAGCTCTCTAGTGCTACTATAACAGACACACCACAAGTGGATGGCTTTAACACACAGACATTTATTCTCTCACAGTTCAGGAGGTGAGGAGTCCAAATTCAGAGCACCAGCTACAGGTGGAGGCTTTCTCCTTCTGTCAGCTTTTGGGGGAAGGTCCTTGTCATCAATCTTCCCTTGGGTCTAAGAGTTTCTCAGCACAGGGACCCTGGAGCCAAAGGATATACCCAACTCTTTCGCTCTTCTTTCTTGGTGGCAGGAGGGCTCTCCCTCTCTGCTCACTTCTGCCTCATCTCTTGTAAGATAAAAGGTGATGCAGGCCACACCCCAGGGAAACTCCCCAGGCTGTGACCCGAGTATCCCCTTACAACTGATTGGCTGATCTGCCAAATTACATCATTACATAACTTCCAAAAGACTGAGAATCATGGCCCAGCCTATTTGACACATATTTTGGGGGGATTCAATTCAATCTATGATATGATGATCTCCAAAAGTTCTCTTGAATCCCCCACAATTTCTCTTATATCCTTTTAAAGTCCTTGGCACTAAAGTCCTTGGTAAAACTCTGGTGACAGTGTATGTAATCTTTTGTGCCTGGCTTCTTTCACTTAACATAATACTTATCAATTAGCCATATATGTTTGGGTCTATTTCAAGACACCATTCTGCTTCATTGATCCATATTATCTATCTTGATGCCAATATTATGCTTTTTTGATTATTATAAGTCTTGAAATCAGGTAGTGTGAGTCCTCCAATTTAATTTCTTTCAAAATCATGTTGGCTATCCTAAGAGATTCTCTGCATTCCTATATAAAGTTTAGAATCATCTTGTAAATGTCTATCAAAAAAATTAAGTCTGCTGGGTTTTATTTAAGGAGCTCTAGTGGCGCAGTACCTATGGCATGTGACTGCTAAACAGAAGGTTGGCAGTTCAAACCTACCAGCTGCTCTGTGGAAGGAAGATGAGACAATATGCTTCCATAAAGATTCTGTCATGGAAACCCAATGGGGTCACTACAAGTTGGAATTGACTCGATGGCAGTGGGTAAAATTTTTGGTTTTGTTTTGTTCCGTTTTGTTTAACAATTAGTTCTGATTCGTGAGTACATAATACCTCTCCCTTTATTCATGTCTTCTTTAACTTCTCTTGGCAATGTTTTATAGTTTTCAGAATATAGGTGTTGCACATACTTTGAATAGCAAGATCTTAGAGACCTGATCTTAGCAAGATCTGAAGCAAGATCTTAGCAAGATCTGAAGCAAGATCTTAGATATTAGCAAGATCCGAAGACCACATACTTTGAAAAGCAAGTTTTCAGGTTATGTAGAACCTTGCTACCGAAAGTGTAGTCCACAGGTCAGCAGCATTGGCATCAGCCGGGAGCTTATTAAAGACGCAGAAGCTCAGTACATCAATGTTCAGCCCTATTCACAATAGCCAAAAGGTAGAAACAATGCAAGAGTCCATCAACAGATGAATGCATACATAAAATGGGGTACGTGCATACAATGGAATATCACTCATCCACAAAGAGAAGAGATTTTGATATGGATGAACCTTGAAAACATTATGCTTAGGGAATAAGTCAGACACAAAAGGGCAAATATTGTATGATCCCATTATATGAAATCTCTAGAACAAGCAATTCACTGAGACAGAAAGTAGATTAGGGATTACAAGGGGATGGGATGGGGGGATTGATGCTGAGAGGTACTAAGTTTCTGTTTGGGGTGACGAAAAATTTTTGGAAATAGAGAGTGGTGATGACTGCACAACATGGTTCATGTCACTGAATTTTACATGTTAAAATGGCAGATTTTCTGTTATATATATTTTACCACAGTAATTAAAAAAATAATAATGAAGCAGCTGTGGGCTCCATCCTAGACCTACTGACTCAGAATCTGCGTTTCAACATCTTCAGGTTATCACTTTGTACTTTAAAGTGTGAGAAGCAGAGATGTAGAGGAAAACAAACTCCTGGCTCATGAACTCTGTAATAGGGACGGCATAACACAGTATGGCAAGGGTCTGTGTGAGGACACATACTTTAGTTTCCTTTTGAAATCAGCACTTCACTGGTTTCTGACCTAGGTGCTTGACTGGCTTCCTGTATTTGGAATTGACAGGGAACAAGGATGCCAGGGGCAAAAAGGAAATCGGAAGTCCTTGTCTGCAGTCCATATCAGCAGTACCTGTGCTTCCATCGCTGTTAAATACACCCTGAGACTGTCTGTAAGCCGAGGAAACATTTGTTCTTTCTGTCAAGGAACGTACACCCTACTGGCTGTTATACACCCCAGTGGCTTCCATTTCTAGTGTTGTGCTAGCCGAGATTACCTTCCAGGACCAAAAGGGTGGTTGTGGAATCAACCAACGCTTTTGTTTTAAAAATAATTTTAATAATCACTTTTATTATATTAACAATTTATTTATTCAACCTTTTAGTTCCTTTATTATGTATTCAGCTCTTACAGCATGACTGAAGACATCTTTCTGATTCAACCATGAAGCCACCTTCACAGAATCAGCTTGCTACTCCATTGCAGTCCTTTCTAGCCTTCATCTATGTGCGTAAATAGCATTTCCATAGTTGCAAACATAATTCTGGGCAGCTTTATGTTCTCATTTTTCAATTAAATATTTTGTGAACTTTTTTTTCTGGGTTTCAACAGTCATCATATCCCTTATTTTAATGGCTGAATAATATTTCATATGGAATAATACTCCATAATTCATTTATCAATTCCCCCTCTATAGTTGAGTTTAATTCATCTTTATTTTATAACTAAATACACAGCATCCAGTGTTCTTAGAGGATGTAAGTGGCATAATGCTTAATGCATTTGACTGCTAACCAGAAGGCTCGTGGTTCAAACCCACCAGCTACTCCTCGGAAGGAAGATTGGGCATTCTACTTCTGTAGTGATACACCTCAGAAACCCAAGGAGGGGTTGCTATGAGTCGGATCCGACTTGATGGCAATGAGTTTTTTTTTTTTTTAAAGTGTTCTTAGGCTGGAAAAGAGATGAATGGAGATGGCTTATGAACCAAACCAATGGGATGTCTCAGCTCACAGGATGAGCAATCACTGTCCGATGTGGAGGGCCCTTGGCACGTTTTATACTTCTCCATTAATAAAAAACTACTTACTTCTAAGTGTCAACTCCCACTCTTAATTACAAACTGATCTAAAGTACACACAGTCAAGGATGCAATCCACAATATTTCAGGTCACTTTGCTACAGATGCCCACCAGCCAGAGTGGATGTGCCGGGTGCTAACCCTTGAGTTGCTGGATGGTGAGAAGATGGAGGGAGAATAGATCCAGGGTGAGAACAAGTATGACGCTCCTTGCGCACAGGTGAGTTATCACCTCAGCTCACAAAGGCTTTTCAAGTAGTGGGTTCAGTTGTGGGCTTTCAAGTGGTGACTGTTTGGATCTGTAGCATGTGATGCAAAAAAGCAGGGGGCTGATTCAAATTAAAACCAAACAAAAACTGCAACAAGAGTGACAGTGGAAACTCTGCCAAGAACGGTGCCCAGTGTCCAGTCGGCAACAGTGGTGGCGACAGCAATGACATCCTATCCAGACTATTCTCAGGACTGATTTTGGCTCTGATTCTAGCCAACTCAGCCTCCTTGAATCCTGCCCCTGGCTCTCAGTGCAGGTCTCCAGCCCACCATGTTGTTATTTGCCGTCGAGTCGGCCCCGACTCATAGCGACCCCTCCTTGGGTTTCCGAGGCAGTATCACTACGGAAGTAGGATTGCCCAACCCAGCCCGCCATAAACTCTGCAAACTACCCAAGGTCCTGCTAATACATCCCTTCTGGGTTTGAGTTAATCAGAGATTATTTCTGGTTTGCAACCCAAGAACCTTAACCAGTAAGTATAAGGGCAGTTGAAAAGGGGAGAACCTAATTACAAAGATTTCATCTGCAGAAAAGAATCTTCACCCCTCTCTCCTGAAGTGAGGGCAGACAGAGCCGAATCCCAAGGGGCTCAGCAACAGTCTCGTTTTTACAGCCTGAAGAGCTCAGAGTCGGGGCAGAGAGGATGTGCCAGGAAGCTGCACAAAGGGAACCTAACCAAAGAATGCTGAAGGCTTTGAAAGTCACAGTCTAGTCCTTAGT